ATGATGATTCACATACCTCGGGCTTGAGATCTCGGTGCACAACCCCACAAGAATGCATAAAGTTGAGGGCTGAGATGAGTTTCCTCATAACCTGACTTGCCTCAGTCTCAGTGAATCTACCTTTTCTGATTCTATCCAGTAGCTCACCACCACATAAGAGCTCCAAAACAATGTAGGTATGTGCCTTGAAAAAAAGAAAACACAAATAATTGCGTACAGATGAATAAAAAAATTCTGATCAGAAAACCTGAAGGAAAGAGCCATATGCAGGACCTAGTCCTAATTGGGAAAAAATATTTAAGTGAATCTCAAGAAGCAGAATGGAAGTATGTATACAAACTTCATTTCATTAATGATAGAGACCAATGACAGTCTCCTGTGAGCATTGTAACAAACCTTTGAATCCCATTTCATGAGTAGCTGAGTAACTCTTAGTTTCTCTGTGTGTGGTTAGTTCAGAACTGCATAGTATGTGGACATGTGCAGCACCCAACTTTTCAAGACCAAACTGAGAAAAAATTTCTATCTCAGCCTGACTGCTGGCTTTTCAACTTCAGTCTTCAAGAATTTTACTACAAATATTTTTCTCTTGTTCAGTGGGATGCAAACTACTCATTTCATCAGAAATGTAATGGTTAGCAACACCGATATGAGTCAACTTGTCAACAAAGTTTCCTTCTTCCTGCCCATGGAGAACAGGACATAGCCCTTGAGTCAAATTCCTTTAATACAGTAATTTAAAGCTATTTTTCTCTGAAAAAGGACCTGATACACTTCACTCCATTATGAAAAGTGGCTACTGTTATAAATTGTGATTACAGTGAAGGAGAATTGGTTCAGAACACAAAAACTTTGCTCTTACCTTGACTCTCAGAAATTTCTGAAATTGCTGTCTCAAACTATAAAGTAATTCTTGCATACGCCTAGTATTAAGAGTACATTTATTTATACACTGCTCTATTGTTCACAATTATATATATGGCAGCTTGTAACTTTGATTAAGAACAAAGGAGGAAAGGAATATGTCTATTTATCGTACAGTCATTAACCATGAAAATTTTTGATCTGCTTCACAAACTTAGGCCTTCAGAGGTGTAAGAATCTCTGTTCTCTGTATTCAAATAACAACCTATTCATTTATATCTCCCCATTTAAACACAATGGGAAAGATGTAACATGGGGAACAAAAAGCCCACAAACACACTGATGAACATACATTAATATTTTATTTACGAAAACTGATGCCAGAAGCAGCATCATCAGCAGCGACTTGAAGCATAGAGCAAATGATGCTCGAGATGGTTCAAGTTCGTATAGCAACAGGCGTGACCAGAGTGGTTAGAACGGCTGTTGAACTGCGATGTGGAAAGCAAATGGAAAAACTACCACATTATCACTTTTCCTGGATAGTCTCTTTCCAAAAACAGAGATACCATGACAAAACAAACCGGAGGGGCACATAGAAGTGGCCAGGAGATGAGGAAGAAGACGTAAGAAGATGCTGGATGACCTTGGGGACAGAAGAGGATATTTTAATTGAAGGAGAAAATTTGAGATCGCATTAAGTGGAGGAACTGTTTTGGAAGAGACTGTGGACCTGTCATCTGACAGATTACTGATGAATGAATGAATATGAAAGAGAATTTCTGTATTACAGAAAAAATTTACTCTTACATTTTTATTTCCCTTCCTACCTCAATAATAAATTCCACCATATTGGGTTTCTTATTTTAGTTACAAGAATTATTACTGTTTTACAATTATTGCAGAAAACTTTAATGAAAACCTTTTCAGTTAACTAGCAACTTCCACACATGAACTAAATTTTCTGTAAGCATACACACCGATAGGGTCAGTCACCAACGTAATTGCTTCATTAAATATTTTTAATACTGGCATATAAGATATCTTTTAGGTCTAAAAAGAGTCCCAAGAGCTACACTTTTTTTTACCCACAGTACATCAAATGTGAACCTTATATTCTGAAATCCCACTTAATATTCAAGAACTGCTGTGCATCATATAATTCCCACCACTGTTCCTTACACTGAAACTCATGTTTGATATACATAATTAAAATAGAGATTATAATGAAATAATTTTCGGTGAGATAGAATGACCAAAATTACCTTAACTGCATAGTCATCAGCAAGAACTTGATACCACATGCTATTTCCAAGCTGATGTAATATAAACAAATACAAGGGCCAAGTGGTAGCCAGATTACTACCGAAGTGGGTGTTAATACCACATGACTTATTTTGTAATCATCTTATCTGGCAAATATAACTCGAACCAGTCACTTTATAAGCCAGTCCATATAGTAGCTGCGTTCCAGCCTGCACCATCTTATCTGGCAAATATAACTCGAACCAGTCACTTCATAAACCAGTCTATATAGTAGCCGTGTTCCATCCTGCACCATAGTTCAAGCGGTTAGTTGCTGGCTTCCCGGGTTCGATCCTGGGTCTGGTCAAGTGGGATTTGTGGTGGACAAAGTGGTGCTGGGGCAGGTTTTCTCCAAGTACTTCAGTTTCCCTTACCAGTCTTTATTCCATCAAATTCCCATCACCATAATCACCCAGGGCAGGCTATAAGAGGCCAATCAGTGGCCGCCGTGCCGAGTGGACCCAGTGCTATTCAGAGTAATTCACAGGCTTCACACACTCACCTCATCATAATATACTTCATGAAGGCTGACAATATTTGGATGGCCCTGGCACATGTGCAGTAAATTGATTTCCTGTGTGCAGTCAATCTTGTGAGTCATTATTTTCACTGCAAATTCCTTCCCTGTTTGCCGATTTGTGCACTTATGGCATACCGAGAAACCTCCACCTCCAAGCATTCCATCTTTGAGATCCAACTCATAATTCTCAAAGAAAAGGGATACCTGCAGAGTAGGAATAAACTCATCAGTTCCATCAATCAACACTTTTTCATTTGCAGATTATGGGGAAACTACTATACACAGTCCTCCTTAAAACAGCTAAATCTATGTTTATAGTCCCCCACTTTAGTATTCACAGAATGTTTCCTTGTGGAACTGGCATGTGGTAATTAGTAATGTGACAGACAATAAACTGCATAAATTTCAATTTTCTTTTTTCTTTTCTTTTCTTTTTTTTTTTTAGAATTTGATGAACACTTCCAAGGATGGCTGAACAACTCCAGTTATTTACTGATTACATTTGCATGGTGTATCAGATGTTTTTTTTTACTAAATTGAGTCCATACAACACTGCACTGTAGCCCAGTACACTGTGACCATAACATCAACTGCTGATAGAGCATCATATCTTATTAGAATTAGTTTAGTAGGTACAACTGCCATACATCATCCCTCAGCACATATTCAAAACATATCACTTGTGAAAATTTAATGGGAACATATCATTACTTACCCCAAATTTGCAGGATAAAGTATTTTCTGAGTTCAAAAAACTGTCTCCAGTCAGCTGACAACTCATCACATTTTCACTAAGCATTGATGGTCTTACAAAGGAATATCCCTGCAACACACAATCGGTACTGCATAACACACATCATACGTAAATAAGCCAATTCTAATCTACTAAATATCCATCACTACGATTTTTATGACATGAAGTGTAGAAGCTCTAATAATCAAAGAACCAGTGCTGAATATATATATATACTTCACAGGACTGAAATTTGACCCATGAAATATAAAATATGTATCTCTCAACTTCCATAAGAGCCCATTATTATACCTGATCCCAAGTCAGCAAAATCTAGTCTACATTACCAACACCAATTCATTTAAGATCAATCTTAATACCATCATGCCATCTTCAAGTCTGCTCCAAAATAATCTCGTGCCAAGAGGCTTCCTCAGCAAAGTTCTGTCTGTGTTTCCTTTTCTTGTATCTTAGATATATGGTCAGCCCATTACAGCCTAACTATACTATGAGGACAGCATAACTATGAATTTCATCCTTATTAAGTAATATCTTTTATTCCTCACTCAATTCATCCTTCTTGAACCAAATTATTTTCAACTGGCAACCTATTTTCTTTTCATGGCTCATGAGATCATTCCTCATACCCACTGAAAAAAGAAATTAAGCAACTTAATTTTCTGTGCTTTGGACAATACATGAGAGTTCTCTTAGTGAATAGTGGCAAACATATCTGAACCAATTTTTTCTCAATTTACTAATGAACCTTCTCTCGCTTGTTATTTGAGGTACTTAAATTCTGGCGAAAAGAACAAAACATAACACATGTGAACATGTTAAGGGGTTGTAAAGTTAACTCCATAATATTCCCACTGCTTCCAGTCTGCAATCCTTGGTCAAGAGTCTCCCTGTTCTTCCACCCTGCCCCCTCTTAATCTTCCTTCAATTTCACTTAGCATATTCTTGATTTTTCTCTTTTGCTTTCACCTTACATTTCACATACATGCACAGAAGTTGCTGACAGCCACAGAACACCACACATATGTTTTCTTTTGAAGTTACTGTTGACTAATATATTTTAGTAAACAATTTTAACTAATTGTTTTAACTAACTGTTTCTGCTGACCACAATATCATCCTTCCCAAACTTATAATAATAATAATAATAATAATAATAATAATAATAATAATAATGTGTGGGTGCTATATTCCATGATGAACCTTGGCCTATTTTTACAGCTGACAGCACTCCATGGGCTGGGGATCAGCCCACCACATGGCTACTACCTACAGAGGACAACGGAAGACAGAATAAAAGCAGACAAACATCCATGCCTCGAGTGGGATTGAAACCCACAACCCCAATATCTGAGTAGGCAAAAACAATCCATGCCTTAGATCACACAGCCACTGTGACTGGCACTAATTATATTAATACTTCACATAATAACGCTTTGTGTAATTAACAGAATAACATTTCACTTTAGAAGTTAATGTCCTCCACATTTTTGCTATTACTGTCTACAATTTTTCTTTACCATTATTGTTTCAGTAATACTCAATGTTGTGTCTTAGGTTTCTTCCTCATGAACACTCCAATCAGAATAACCCTGTTGCAGCCCCTTGTCACAACTGCACAATTATTTCTAGTAGTTAAGCTCTAAGGACTACCACAAGCATCTTTATTATTATATAACACTTCTAAACAGCAGGCCCTTCAGTTTCAATAACCTGTTCTTAAAGCTGTGCAAGCTTCAAGGAAAGTTGTCCTTAGGCATTGCATGTAAAGTGGGACACATATTTGTTCTTACCCTGAATGTGTTGTCAGAGCTCAGTGGTGCAGTCCTACGTGACTTGGATGGAGCAGCAGGTTCTTCAGAGATATGTGTTGCATCCATCTTGTCTGATAAAATAGGTATAAATGGGGCTGAAATTCTCTTCTGCCCCAGAGCAGACCAGTCCAACTCCTGTGAGGTAAGACACACAAATTAATAGTATGCAATAGAATTTTGTCAAGACAGCAACATCTGCCAGAGTACACTGAAAACACTTACTAGTTTTCTGGACTTTGTCTGCCATCTAAAAGTCTGAAAACAAGAAAGCGATTTTGGGAGCTGGGTCTCCTCCCATTCTCAGCTGTGTCTGTTAGAAAGAGCAAATTTCAATCACTGAATCAGGATCTTACTGAGTGTATACTCTTCAACAGAGAACAGGAGCAGATCCAGCTCCTGAAATGCCATGCTCATGCTTCTAGAATATCAACAGAATGCCACTGAAACTAGTAATTCAAAGTGTAACATATCACCGCCAGAATATCTGAGAACACATCAGTTTAAAGATGAATCTAAAATATAAAAATTACATACACTCCGAAATAGTGCCCACAGAACGGGTACAAACTTTTAGATCTCTGCCACTTCCTATTTAACATATTATTTTTCCTGGCTGGGAAATCTGCACAAGTCCATGATTTATTTAATCCGTCTTGCAGTGCATACACTCATTTATCTCCTTCTCTCCCTCGCACTACATGTTTCGGCATAATAATGCCATCTTCAGGTGCTTACTTATCCACGTCAAACCAGTTCATTGCATGCCATGTTCACACATTAAAATAACTAAAATATGTATCTATCATATACATTGTCAAACGTTAAAAATATTAAAATTGTTCAGGATACCACATCGCTACGTCGCCCCTCACTACGTCAGTCACGCCCATTCTCCTTTGTTGGAGCACTCCTTCATTATCTTGTGTGTTGTGCTTTTGTTGTGTCGTGCTCCTGCGACTGCGTGTGTATAACACGCAGTTTCAATTGTACAATGTGTATTTTTTGCTTACTGAAATTTCAAATAATGTCCTCAAGAAATACAATTGAGAGTCTAATATGTAACAACATTTCAATTCTCTTGATTTTCTTAGCACATATTACCATGCATACGGCATGGTTCAAACACATCTTTAAAAGAAAACAAGCATGTGAATGAGGAAAGAACTTACTCTGAAAAATGGGTGCCTTTTCAGTTCTTCTGCATCACCCTCTCCTCCACCCAAACGTTTCTGTGGATCACTCTCTAGTAATTTTAGGATAAAATCTGATGCCTCAGGGGATATATCATTTGGGATCCGGGGTTTCGCTGTAAGTATTCGGCTGAAAAAGATAATTTTGGTTTTAATTTTACCATCACAAATATGCATTAATTATCCATTCATAATTAATATTTAAAAAGGTCTTCAAATCTAGAATTCTTCTAACTGAACCAACAGAACAGGTGCCTCCCACACTTTTACATGTGAATGGAAATGGATCATTTCTGAACCGCTTTTATTTAGAATACAGGAACACTGACGAAGCCCAAAAACTCAGTAATCCCTTGTATTATGATCAATGTTATAAAGGAGGGGGTTGTGAACAATCTACTATTCATACTCAAATTTATATCTTCCCTCACACTCAAACCACATGTCTTTCCCAGTGGGATTAAAACAATATTTTCTGTGTCAGGAACTGTTTCATTACAGGAAATTTATTTAAAACCAAGGGGACAATCTTAACTTTTAAGTTACAAAACAGATGTATCAAATGATGACAGATACTTGTTTAATTAAAACCTTATCACTGGCAACTTATGACTTTAGTCCCCTAGCTCCCTCTACACTGTGCAAATACATACAGGACTACATGCCTCCTGGGGACTTGTGTTTGATTATGATAGAGCTCTCAGTCAGTGGTAACTTGTCACAATGGCACAGCTTGACTGTTGGTCATACAACAGGGTGTGTGTCCAGGCCATCTGGGCACAAGACAGACAAGACAGACAAGACAAGACAAGACAGACAATATAAGACTGTCTGGGCTCTACACCTGGACTTAACACATAGAGGCAGTGAGAAGGGTCTACTCAGCCTCTGGTTTGAGTCCCCTGAAGGGATAGATAAAGTGGAAATTGTGAGACAGCACCCCAGAGATAGGAAAGAGCCTGATGGTGAGACAGGAGTTTCATAAAAGTAATAATGTTAATATTTATGAAATATATAGCCCTAGAAGAATTACAAACAGATGTGGGAAATCCAGCACAGTAATCATACAGTGAAAATGAGGATAATGAGGTGGGTGCATGAGCTTGCGAAGGGGGCCAGGGAGGGAGAAGAATTACGGGAATAGAGAATGGTAAAAATAGCACATGAAAATGTCAGAAGGCAATATTATGATAAGAAAACCCTGAGGTTCCCTCTGCAACATTTTGTTTGGATTCTGGCTAAAAATAAATGTTTGGCTACAGTAACGGTCAAATGCAGGGACTTTATCTGACCATATGCATCTGCCAGGGACTCCGCAGCACATCACAGCTGTTAATGTGCAGATTACTGACCAGCTTCAGACACTGTTTCCTTCGCTCCTAAATAAAAGACAGTGGTGTTCAGCTAGTGCCTAGCTCAGACTTTATTTCTTATTTGTCTGTGATTATGAAGAAGTATTTCTGGGCATTCTTTTCCATAGTTGATTCTCTACATCTATCAGATATATGCACTTATTTCATCATTGCTGAACAGTCTGGGGCAGACATAAAATAATGTTTATAGAACTGTGTGTGAAGGACATTTTGTGGTAAAGGCAAGTGTGGGTCAGATCTCATTACAGAAACTAGTAACTCACCGTCGTAGACGCTCCTGGTACTTTCTCTTTCCAACAACACTGAAGGGACGATCCCCTGCTAAGAGCTCACATGTGAGGATGCCAGTGCTCCACCAGTCTGCTGCCTGCAATAATTTAAATTTGATGTAATGGCCACAATACATTATTTTCCAACAACATTCTGCAAAAACAGAAAATTAACAGAATAAACAAAATTTGCTGATTTGTATCTGGTTCCCAAATTTCTCTGGAGCCTTCCTTTGGTTACTGCCCTGTTATTTCCTCATCGAGTTCATATACACTTTTTTACTGTCTTAAGTTAGGTACAAAATGTAAAGTTGTCCCTGTGTTTTATTAATTAAGCAACTAAGCACTCTGCATTGAAGACATGTGGGGAAGTGGCGGTATGGCTCCACCATTCTCAGCAGTAAATGGAGGTGAGTGGTCAGCTTCATGTCCCACCCACTTTAACTGCAGTGAAAAGAGTACCCTGTACCCTTTGGATAGGAGGCTGGGTGGATCCCACAGCTGGTCTGGATGCTGTGGAGTACAGAACAGTCCCTTTTGCCCTGCCAGAAATGGAATCCTGGGTGTGCAGCCCATAGCCTGTGGAAATTGTTCTAACATTGGGAGATGCCTGATTCAAATCTGAGCCTGAAATAGACCATCTTGACAGGTTTGTACACTTTCATTTGGTCCTTCCAGACAAGTGTCAGACTAACAGAAGTCATATCCATTTCTTCCATTATACTTTCCATTTTATATTACATAAGCTTATTTCCATTTTATTTCATACTAAATAACCAAAAAAAAGACATTTACATTTTAATATATTTGCTACGAACCACTAACACTAAATTGAAGTGACAGTGCAACAATTTTAGTTACCAATATCTATACCTGATGAGGGCCATGTGAGGCTGAAACATCATGTAGAAGAGTGTATGTAGGGTAGAAGGCAAAATGTTGCATTTGGACGGTGTAAACACTTATTCATGGAAGAATGTGATGAAATGAAACAATCTAAGAGGAATGTGCAGAATGAAGAAAGAGTTTAAAACATTCAAGCATGGGTAGAAATCAGTCCTCACAAACTGATTACACACTTCTTTTAATTTAGAATATAAAAACAATTTGCTGAACTGTTGAGTTCAGTGATTAACACTCCTACTCCATAATGGGAACTATCAGGTTTGAGTTTGCACTAACAAAAGTTCTTTCAGGTCCTCCTCAAACAAACAGTACTTTAATGAAGTCACAATTATTACAACCCATCCACTTCAAAACATCATTAAACTAAGAAATTATAATAAACCACATCTATGTGACTGTACTGTTAAATGCATGGCAGGTGTATGCAGACTCTTGACAGTGATTCATATCAGACAGTGCTGTGAATTAGTGCAATCTTTTGTTATTTTAATATTGCCACGTCACAAACACCCAACACGTGACAGCAGACAAAACATGTTACAATATTATATTAAATCAGAAAGCTATGTTGGTGCAGTGAGAAACTGTGTGCATGTCACAACTGTGACCAGCAACAACAGAGGCACATGCTGTAAGAAAAGGTCAGGAGTGCAGAAAAGACGAAGATCATGTATAAGGGGCAGTCAAATGAAAATGGGTCACCATGCATAACTCACATGGCGTGCAAGTTGGCAAACATGGAATTTGCTTAACCCCTTGAGCGTGACTTTTAGCGGAGTCATTTAAATCCCTAAGCGTGTGCGACGCACCGTCTGCGTCTACTCAAAGCCGTGCTGTAAGCATGCGTGCCGCATATGTTGCGTCCAAACTTTTCACTAAGAATTCTTAACGCCTACGCTCTGATGTGTGTACTTCCAGTGAATGTATATGTCAGCTAACACTGACTTCTTTCATTCCTCGCTATCTGTTTGTGTGTGGTATTTTTTTTTAGTCACTTTGCTTGGGACAAAGCATCTGGTGTCTGCTGCTTATGAAAGAGTTGTTCCAACTCACACTCCGACTTGCTTACAGAGAGATAATTTGTTAGCTAACTTTCATTGAGTGCTTGTTATGTGTGTGTGTATTTTTTTATTACTGGCTTGGCTTACTGGCGACAAAGAAGCCGTGTCTGATTTACGATGTTACGAACCTAGGTGTCAAAGTTGGCTGACGCCTGTGTCAACATTTATGAATCTGTTATTCCTTTTCTGCTTCGCAACACCCTCTTATCGGAGCAACATGGCATTTGGTCACGTAACTTCTCTGGCGGGACAGTTTCTTGCCCCTGACGCTAATAAAATAGAGCTTTCAAAAGTGGGTTCCCACAACTTTGAATGAAATTAGGATATTCCTAGGTTTTCTTATGCTGATGGGAATAATTCAGAGACCAAACCTCAGGGTGTATTTTAGTAGGAAACATATGTTAGAAACACCATTTTTTCCCAATGTAACGAGTGAAGAAAGGTTTTCATTGCTGACCAGATTTCTCCATTTTGTAAATAACACCAATAAGGAAATTGCAAAAAGAGATCCTAAATTGTACAAAATTCTTCCGGTAAGTGAATATTTGAAAAATAAGTTCCAGAAAGTGTACATACGGGGCAAAGATGTAAGTGTCGATGAATCTTTGTTATTGTGGAAAGATAGACTTTCGTGGAAACAGTATATTCCTATGAAAGCTTCCCAGTTTGGGATTAAAATTTTTGAACTTTTTGATTCCGCAGGATATTTGTGGAATTTTATAATTTACAGTGGATCAGGGATAAAATTAGGCTGTGAAATCACCAAAGAGACATATCTTTTCTCAACAAAAGTTGTTCTAAGATTGTGCGAGGAACTATTATACTCGGGCAGATGTGTTTTATATGGACAATTTTTATAGCAGTCCTGATCTTTTCCAAAGATTAGTTCAGAGGACAACAGATGCTGTTGGAACAGTGAGTATCACGCGCAAAGTTATGCCAGTGGATCTAAAAAAGGAACTGAAGAAAGGAGAAGTGATTAGTGCAAAGTGTGGGAAATTGGTGGCGTTGAAGTGGAAGGATAATCGCGATGTCTCAGTGCTGACTACTAAACATTCAGACGAAATGCAACCCGTAAGTCGAAAGGGTGGGTTAGAATTTGTAAATAAACCTATGTGTGTAATAGAGTATAATAAATATATGGTAGGAACTGAAGAACTTGAAAGATCAGCTACTAGAAACATTCTTGCTAGAAAGGAAAAGGCAAAAAGCGTGGTACAAGAAATTATTCAACCACTTAGTAAATACGGCAGTGTTGAATGATTACATTCAGTACTGCAAGGCTGGTAACAAGAAAGATCATCTGTTATTCAGAATAAACTTAGTGAATAAGATCATAGCAAAGTCCCATGGACAGAATTTAGAAAAGCGCAAAGGGCGTCCTTCAGATACCGACATGGAATGTACGAGATTGACGGGACAGCATTTCATTCAAGAAAATCCCAAAACCGAAATTTAAAAACGGAAAGAGAAAACAAACTTGATACAGGCGTAAAAATTGCCCAGGGACACCCTCTCTCTGCCTAGACGCCTGTTTTGAGCAATACCACACCAAGGTCAACTACTAGACACTGGATATGGGGAGCTGGGAAAAAGAAATAGTCTGACAAAATGTAAGTACACATTTATAATAATGAACTGTAAACAATTGTAAATATAATATAATTTTTTGGAATTTTTCAAATAGCGATTTCGTTATTTAAAAATATTTAAGTAAATGTCTGCACAAAACCTTCAATGCTTGCGAAAATAAAGCACCGGGAGGGATTTAAATATCCCTGCTTAAATTCTCGCTAGATGCATGTAACTGAGTGGACGCATATGGTGCGTCGCACACGCTTGAGGGGTTAAGGTGTGAACATCTGCTGGGGACTCGGGGAAGCACAGTGAAAATGTTCTCTTGCACATCAGTCGTTCGTTTATTGTGCTGGAACAAATGCCACTTGGCCAGACCCAGTTCGATCCTGGGTCTGGTCAAGTGGGATTTGTGGTGCACAAAGTGGCGCTGGGGCAGGTTTCCTCCAAGTACTTTGGTTTCCCTTGCCAATCTTCATTCCACCAATTGCTCCACAATCACCCTCACCTCATGTGGGGCTGGTACAATAGACCAGAAGTGGACGCACTACCAGGGACTTAGTCCCACCTCACTAGCAATATAAAAAAAAAGTTAGCGCTACATCTGGTCATCCAACAACAGTAATGGAGGCGGGAAAAGAAGAACAGCGAAGTGTAGTGCACTTTTTGACTCCTAAGGAGCAGGAGGATGAGAAATTCATCGTTGCATGTCTGTTGTTTATGGCAAACACAGCATGTCACATTCGCATGTGCTGAAGTAACATAAGAGATTTCGAAAGGGATGTGCGTCACTGCAAGATGATGCTCGCCCAGGACAGGCTCATTGTGTCATCACTCCTGATGTTATCGCTGCGTTGTCTGGTCATATCCAGGCAAACCTATGGATCACTGTGGAAGAAATTAGTCTTTTGATGAGAATAAGTCATGGTTCCGTACACGCCATTGTGAAAAAACACCTGCTGTACCACAAAATCTGTGCACAGTGAGTTCCACATCAACTCACGGAGAAACAGAAGATTCAGAGAATGGCTGCATCACTGGGTCACTTGCAACAATACCATGAGGAAGAGTATGCTTTTCTGTCCTGTACTGCCACTGGGGACAAAACTTGGTGCCACCATTTTGAACCCGAGAGCAAATGGCAGAGCCAACAGTGGAAACACGTGAATTCTCCCCCACCAAAGAAATCCAAAGCCATATACACAAGTTCCGGTAAAGTGATGATGATCTTGGACTGCAAGGGCCCTCTGCTTGTTGAATTTCTCTAGCATGGGGCCACAATCAGTGCACAGTGCTATGAAGACACTTTGCAGAAACAGAGACGTACCATAAAGTCAAAACAGCCTGGAATGCTATCGAATGGCATTATCCGTCATGATAATGCGCGCCCCCACACTGCCAACTCTGTGAGGAATAAGCTACAGAGATTTGGTTGGGAAGTGCTTCAACATCCCCCCTACAGCCAAAATCTCTCCCCATGTAATTTTCACATTTTTGGAGACCTGAAGAGAGACATTCGTGGACATCGGTTTGCATCGGATGAAGACACGTGTGGCTGGGTAAAGATGTGGTTCCATAGACAGCCCACAAGCTTTTTCAAGGATGAGACTGACTGTCTTATCTCCCAGTGGAATAAATGTATTAACAATTTTGGAGATTACTTTTGAGGTAAGAAATGTTCTTTAATATTGTGACATGACGATAGGTGGAAAGCCTGGCGAGAAAAGATGGCCGCCATGTGAGAAGAGTTGGTCGCAGAAACGGAAGCCACCCGAGCAGAAACAAGAGCCATCCAAGAAAGGACGGAAGCCACCCAAACAGAAACAAGAGCTATCCAAGCAAGGATGGAAGCCATGTGAGAGAAAATGGGCACCAGCCACACGGAGATGTTGTACGCATTTCACCCCAAAACAATAGCCTTCCAAGAAATGGAGATACGTCCAGAAGAAAAGCCGACCTCAGTGGACATGAAACCTGCGGTGGCACAACAAGAAGAGGTCCCAATAGTGATACCGGTCGGAGTGATGATGGCCTGCCGAGAAATGGAGGCACATTCAGAAGAAGAGCCGGCCTCAGTGAACAAGAAACCTGAGGCGGCAAAACGACGAGAGGTACCTGTAGAAGACGCCGAAGTAATGCCAGTCGGAGAACCAAAGAAGAAAAGGTGTAGGGACCGAAAGAAGCGGAACATGAAGAATTCGACACGGGAAAACTGTGGACGCCAGATGAAGTTGGCTGCCCCTTGCAGGAAGGTGTCCCACCGTGCAACAGTGGCATGGCTCAGGAGGAACATCTTCAGGAAATGTTGGACCCGAGGAGATTATGAATCCGGATGAAGTTGGCTGCCACCTGCAGGAAGACATCCCGTCGCGTGACAGTGGCACGACGTTGGAGAAATGCCTTCAAGAGGGAAACTCCCCAGGGAATCTTCGGATGCCAGAGAAAGGACTTGGCGCCACGGTCTCATGCCAGCAAGTGGCAGGAAGACCAGGAGGAACAACGACATCAGCAAGTGCAAACAGCACTTCAAGTACTGTTACGATGACATGAGGACCTTCCGAAGAAAGACTTGTAACTGTCCAGTTTATGGGAAGGTCAACTGATGTTTGTGTATGGTTAGGGTTTTGTGAAATTCCTCACTTTTGCCTCACAATTTGAAATTTTCCCCCTGAGACACACAGCAAGTGGCTTGGGTCAAGCTTGAAGCCAGCCGCCCATCAGTAAATCAGTCAATTTAATGCATAAAACAAGGCCGAGTTCTTTAGAAATTCTAAACTTGACAGGGGAAGTCATAAATTTAGCAGCGTCGTTTCCTGCTACCCCAAAATCTCAGTTTGACAGCCACGCAGCAGGTGGCAAAGTTCACCCCTAAACTGTACACTAGTGGATATTCGCTTTTCTAATTGGAGGAGAATGATAAGCAACCTCCCAGTCTGCCCGGTCCAGACAATCATCGTCTGAAGGGGGAGGTCCTTTGCCCGAATTTTGGTAACCAGGGCAAATATTACCATTCAGAGGGTGCTTGGCAAGGAGGACTCTGAAATTTACCTTCACCGGGGGTACACGAGTTCTGATCCCCGTAAACACCCCCTGTGGCGACTATAACGTGTGCGTCCCAGTGAACAGTAAGTAAGCCTACATCCACGAATCTGTGAAGTGTACCACTACAGGGCTGTTTCCATTTAATTAGTGCAGATTTAATAAAGACTCCATACAGTTAATTGGTGTTGAGGTGACTTCCCTACGCCTAAAGCCCCACTAATCACCCAAGTCGTGGCCAGTCAACACGCCCTGAGAGGAGTCTAATTGCTCTACCGGAGCTAGCAGAACCGAAGGACGGTTACAGACTTGATCAAGGACTGGACATTGTGGAGGTGTCGATCCCCTCCAAAATGAAAAAGAAGCAGAGCACAGAAGAGCCGGTAAAATAGAAGCACCGGCCTCCTCAGAGAGAGTGAATGTGCCATGGGAGAAAGTGAAGGAGTGAATGTGAAACAACTGCATCTTCTAGGCAAGTTAGAAGGAAACCGCTCGAGACGAGCCGGTCTTAAGAAGAGAGCAGTTGTAACGGCCAGATAATAGTCGCTGCGTGGAGTAGCTGAAATAACAGGAGACCCACCAAGCACATCCTTGGAAGAAAAGGAATCGGGGTGCACCGTTAGGCTATTCGGGATGAACAGCCTTACGGAGGGAGCAGTGTGACATGTTGCGCTATGGATGATGCCCCTCCTTCCCCGCCAGCCGTGATGTGCCGAGCGGAGCCGAAGTGAGCCGAGTCCCAGCACACTGGTCGCTATGCAACGCGAGTAAACAGCGGTTGCTAAGCAAAGCAGGTAAACAGTGGTTGCGAGAGACGACGGTAATAACAGCGGTACCCATTACGTAACAGGCAAACACGGCATCAGACAACAGTGGTGCCTATTACATTACTGTTTTCCCGTTACCGGCTGAGGGTTTATAAGGGAACTACACAGCCGCCGAAGACAGTTAAAGTATATCAGTGGTCGAAGACAGTTCTCAAGGCAGCAACCTACGAGTTGAGTTGGAATCTAGTCAGCAGTGAGAAGTAAGGAGTGAGTTGAATTGTAGTAGTCACCGATTTCAGTTGTAATGAGTGAACCGTGATAGTGTGAAGAGATTTGATTGTAGGGTTTGTAAAGTGTGGAAACCCGTAACATTGTTATAATTAATTGTAGCCGATACTTGTGGGTTGTTAAATAAACCAATTAACAATCTGAACGGCGCCTTCAGTAACAAAACACGTTACAATATGTTTTGGTTTCTGACCCCTTTTTCATTTGACTGCCCCTCATACAATACAAATTATCAAAACACTGAAGTTTCCCCTGGAAAACTTTGTGATTGGACAAAGTGGTATGACTACAGATAGAACTATTAAACTGATGGATTGTTACAATGCTGAAGAAGATAAAAGTTCAGCAGTTGAAACAAACACTTTTGTTGCTTATGGCTTATGTTTCTGTTAAAATTAAAAGACAAATATGATCTCTCTAGTTTATCATGTTTACTACAGAACGACATGATAAACATGTCAGTAAAACTGGGACCTATGCAAATATTAGCTACAGAAAATTAGATCTATATGTCGCTGCCACTGAACTTCTCTTTTTACCTATATAAAATATTAAGGGCCCCACATCCACCTAGGGATGGTACAGCAGGCTGCATACATTGGTATACTCAAATTTAATCTGTTGAACATATTCACCTTTTCTCCACTCATACACCTGTATAAGATAGAGGCCTATATTTTCCAAAATTTCAAACGCTGGGCACTTATAACAATTCAAAAGCAGTATAATAGTTTCCAATCCCAGTATGGCAAATCAACTACTTTAATGAGATGCCACTTTTTCCATGTCAGTCATAAGTGATGGGTTTGGCTATGTCAGCAAAATATATGGTACTTACCATATCATGTCCGGAGGGGCCTCGAATGACTTCAGGGGCCATGTACTCCAGGGTTCCACAGTGTGAGTACGTTCGAGGCTGAAAACAGAATTACGGAGTATATGAGGCACAGATGTAGACTGCTGTTAAAAACTGAATAAACTGTTATTTCCCTGCTAGCTGAAACCAAAGGTTCAGCAATACTAGGGCAAAAGCCTGAATGCCTTTGAGCACTATCTTCAGTCAATTTCATCCACTACCCTCTCTCACAACACATTCTCTTAGATGCCAACTCCTCCACCTTCCTGGTGGCAACATTCCAGAATGCTTCTCCAACAGAATTCTATATTAATCTCTCTCTAAATATTTTAACCATTTTACATTTTCTAATCAATCATAATGACCCCAGAGCCATTTATAAATATTACTAGTAAAGTAAGTAAAAGTAAAGTAAAATAAAGCTATCCCTGTAACAGACCGTGAAGTTCCATAGAGTTGTGAGACGTTGAGGGTCCCACATTATCTAGACAATCAGCTCAAAGATGGTGGTAAGGTTGTCAGCCTTACGCACCGGCCACGCTTTACTCCCCAGGAATATTATTTAATTAACTCCTGGCACTCATTTCTGTTAGTAATAATTATATATTAACTATAGTGATACCCTAAGAGTTAAGAACATTTTTATATTAAGAATGATATCTGTTCAGTTCTTGCTATAACTTTTCTGAGAAATTTTAGCAAGGAATGTTTGCATAAGACTCATGTAACCCAAGACATCCAATGATAGCTAGCATGGTATGTGTGGCAGTTACCCAGCCATGCTTAAGGAAGCTTCTGGAATCTTTTAGAATCAGTTAGAAGGTTCTAGTAGTTTTTAAATTAAATAGATGAATTCTATTGGCTGTGCAAATTAGTTTTGTGGACCCTGTAGTTGGCCAGCCAATCAAAAATCAATTACGAAAGGAGTTTATGTTGTTTGAAGTAGACGCTTGTTAACTGTTACAATTAATAATATTTACCCTCAACATCAATAAAAAAGTGACTACTAGTGAACTTATGAGTAACTATAAGTGGGGACAATAAAAGTTCATTGTTTATTGGCTAAAAAGAAGTTTGAATATTTCTTAGTGTTCCCCTTTGTCACATCAAATCAGGGCACCTTAAGCCCTGAGGAGAATTCCTCATGTTCATCATTTAACATAAAAGTGGAACCCCACAATCCCTCTCAACACACATGTAACTTATGGTTACATGGCGCCCAATTGTTCCCTTGCCACTTGGTACCTTTCCACTACCAAAAAGACTAGGTGTGCAGCGAGAGTGAGCAATAATACGAGTGTGAATACAAGAGGAGACTACATAGAGGTGAAGTGTTGTATGTGAGAGAAACTAAGGGCAGTTACAGAGGTGGTCACTGATGCAAGGCAATAACCCCATGGAACGATTATAATTTCAAACTAGGTAGGTGACATGGGTAAATCACAAAGAGGGTCATTCTTTGATACCTAAGCTGCTCACATATTTCCTTTCCCTAGGTCCCAATATTTTCTTAAACCTTTGTTTCCAAAATCATACAATTTATGGGCTTTCACCAAAGTAAGTTTCCATGATTCACAAGCACTACATAAATTGGAGTTTGGTGTTTTTTTTTCTTCAATTTTTGACGTTCAGGAATGATAACAGCTCTGGTACCGAAGTCACAATAATTTACAAAACATTTAATAATAATCTCTTATAGAAGAATTCTATCTCCTGGAACATAACTCTGTATTATTTCTTGAAAGTCAACCAACGATTCAGAGGAACATTTCGCTTCCATCTTCAGGGTTTTGCTTGCTGACTGCTTCATGCTGGTGTCTTGCTTTGCTTACACTTTGACCCTAAAAATGACGACACATTCCTCAGGAACAAGGGTTAACTTACGATGAAGACTACATGGCATTATATCTCAGAAGACAGGACTCTTCATAACCACTACTGTGAGAACCTCACATCTCTCAACGTATTACAAAACTGTTCGGAAAACAAAAGCAACTTGCTGGCCACTGCAACTGACTGCTTTTCATGCACTATCAAGGCTGCATTCCCATCTTTAGTGCTTCTGTGATTTACATCCCAGTGTCCCCTCTGCCTCCCACTTACATGCAGCACAATTCTGCACTTCTGAGTCCATCTAACCAAATTTTCATAATTCATCACCCTTTATTACGCTTTCTCTTAAGTCTACGTATAGACAAACATTGCCTGAAAACATGTTGGCCCCTTCCAGGCACCTTTCGGCTGCTATGTTGCAGAGTGGCTCTTTTTGATCCCTTATCCCCCAGCTCCCTACATATAACCTTGGCAACAGGTGAGCACACAGATGGGTGAATTACCGTCTCAAATGGTGAAAACTTCTTACAGAGCCCGAAGTCTGTGAGAACTATGTGCCCCTGGGCATCAATCAGTAGATTTTCGGGCTTCAGGTCTCTGTAGATAACCCCGATCTGCAACAAACAAATGAAAAGCAGCACTTGAAACCTTTCCCAAATAAATTAAAAATATTTAATCTAATTAACTTCTTATGAGTTGTCTCTGAGCAAGTAAGTTACAGTGTTTTCAATTCTTTATTAGAGTCCGTTGCAACTCCAGTTGCAATCTATATTCCCTACAGAACGGACAAATACATTGTAAGATGAGGCACCGGCTAAAGAGTTAATGTCAAAACTATACTACATCTATACCACAGGCCTCCAAACGGTTTATTACATGTATACAAGTCTAGAATATACCACTATATGTATAACAAAATTGCAACAACTGACTTGATGATATGGAATATCACATGAAGAGTTTTTAACTTTATTTTATGCCATAACTTTCGTTTTTATAATAAGTTTATAGTTCATTGTATTTTATACCATGTATTTTACATAGGGCAGTCAAAAAGTTCCCAGAATTCCCCTGCAGACGGAGACCAAGCAATAAGATAGCGCACACAGTTATGGTGGGGAGCTCAGCATGTCTGCTTGCAGGTGCAACAGGTCTGGACAGGTTTCAGTGTCCGTGCAGCAAGTTTACGGTGATACTGCACTAAAGAAATCCACAGTTTACGACTGTTTTTCCCGGTTTAAGAACGGGCACGAGACATTAGAGGATGACCAGCACAGTGGGAGACCTTTGCCATCCAGAACTGAAGAAATGATCAGAAAAAGTTCAACAACTGATTTGATGTGATCGAAGAATGACCATCGCTGGGTTAGAGCAAGAAGTTGGTACCTCTCACGGATCCATTCATGCCATTCTGTCTGATGATTTGAAGACCAGACGCGTCAGTGTGAAGTTTGTTCCGAGGCAGCAGACCACGGATCAGATGGAATGTCGCATGATGGTCGCTGGTGATCTGTTTGACAAAAGTACGCAGTACCCGACGTTTCTCAAAAAGATGGTCACTGGTGATGAGTCATTGGTGTTCGCCTATGACCTGGAGATGAAGATGCAGTCATCGGAGTGGCACACAGTGTCGTCTCCCGAGCCAAAAAATTGGTTACACGATGCAGTTCGGAGGAAACAGCATGACATGTGGCAGGGACTGCGGTTTCTGCATCACGATAATGCATCAAGCCACACATCGCTTGTTGTGCAGCAATTCCTCGCCGAGAAAAACATTCCTGTCATCACTCAACCACTGTACACTCCAGATCTCGCTCCGAGTGACTTTTGGCTGTTCCCTACTCTGAAAACAGGCCTCAAGGGGACACGTTTTACAACCATGGAGGGCATCAAACTGAATGTAATGGCTGAGCTCTGGAAGATTAAAAAAAAAAGCCTTCCACCGCTGCTTCCAACACTGGCAGGATCGATGGAGCAAGTGTGTATGCATGCAAGGGTCCTACTTTGAAGGTGATTAGGTAAGCATTGCCGTATGTCCTACCATTAGAGAGCTATACGACCATTCCAGGAACTTTTTGACTGCCCCTCATATAATGTAATAATTATCAAATATCCAGCTTCACCATCGCAATTGCAATTCAGTACTGCGTGAATATGTTAATCATGTGAAGAGAGTCGTCTTCTGGGTTTAGGCACCGTGTATTCTTCGTGTTGGCCGATGTTTCGGAGGAACGTAGCGCCTCCATCTTCAGAGCAGTTGAATGGCTTGGGAATGCGGAGAGCAGTAGCTGTGGTGATAGGATGTGAGAGGCGCTGCTTATATACGAAGTAGGCAAGGGGGGTGGTTAGGGAGAACGGACCAATGGGAGCAGTGGGGAGCGATTAAGACCATATATGGTGTGTGTTGACTAAGGGAGGGGGGGAACGGCCAGTGAATTCAGGAAACTTGAGGTCAATAGCACTAGGAAGTGTGGTAGTCAAGAAGAACCGGTAGGTTGAGGACAGGCTATTGACATCAATGACATGACGAAGAACTGGTGTGGCTAGTTGGATTCTCTTGAGGGAAAAGATGCTTCACGTCTGTCGAGATTGTTGAGAGCAATAAAGACCATATGATGTTGTGTGCTAAGTGGGGGTGGGGGGGGGAGGGAGATCTGGGACG